CACTACGACTCTTCTTTTTTCCGTAGTTTCCTCCGCCACTGTAGTGATGTATGTATCTGAAATTTGAGAGGGTTAGTTAGAATGTTTGACAAATCATTGCTGATATTTTGTTGTATGTATATGTCTTCAGAAGGACAATCGAGTACCTCAAATGGGTTTGGGCTTTGAAATAAAGGATTCAAAATGGTTTATCAGTTGCCTTCCTCACCAGGGAACAGCCCTTGGTCAACTTTCATTATGTATGGTGGGACTGCATCCTTTGACATCATGCAGAAAATAATTCATTAGTGTTGGCATCCTAATTTTACCATGCTGATANAGAGCCTATTATAATATATCAGAGTACTATCAAGATACTTTTTGATTCGACTTGTGGCTGACTTGTTTTATGTAATCAATATTGAAAATTTTCCAAATAAACTCTTATTGGCTATATTCGTGCATGTGATGTATTGTGCTATGTAAATACTAATTGTTTTTGTAATTTTTTTGATCTTTGTACATATGTTCAATAACTACCTGTAATTTTATTCAACAACTACCTGCCAATGTATATTATTTTATAGTGTATAAATAGCGATAACTACTGTGTGTGAATTTATTTCTCGAATTATTTTAACCAAGCTTTGTCAATAAGATGTCAATCTTCAGACAATAAAGCATATTTTGACTTTGACTTTGACTCCATAATATGGAACCATGGGAATACAGAACTAGACACCTTCCTGAAGCACGTCAACAACATAAGACCTTTCATCACTTTCACAAAGGAAAAGGGAGTCCACAGCGAATTGCCTTTCTTAGACGTATTGGTGAAGAGGAACGACCCTAAATGGGAAACATCTGTATACTGAAAACCCACTCACACGGGACAGTATCTGAACAAGGAATCCAACCACCATCAATCTACTAAGAGAGGAATCATCAAGCCTCTGGTAGACCGTGCTTTCAGGCACTGTAATACAAAGGAAGGTCTCGAAAAGGAACTAGGCATTCAACGGAATGATTACTCCAGAGTGATGGTATCAGCTTTAGCTAGAAGACAGCAAGAGCTCCTCAAGGAAGAGAAGCCGCCACAACCAGTACTTGTACTTCCCTACATCAGAGGATTATTGGAAAGGATAAGAAGAATTGGGTCCAAGTATAACATCAGAACCTCTTTCAGATCTGGGAACACTATCCGTAGCAGCCTCACGAAAATCAGGCCACCAAACGCGAACTGCAATTCCAAGAATTGCATTTACCGGATACCCTGCGAGTGCGGAGAATCCTACATCGGTGAAACTAAGAGGCAATTGAAAGTTCGCATTGCTGAGCACAAGAAACACACACAGCGAAGAGCAAATCCGGAATAGCAGAGCATGTTTGGACTCATCAACATAACATCAAGAGGTATCAAGCTGAAATCATCCACAAGGAGGAACACTAAGTAAAATCCAGTAGATCATATTGTTCATCTGATTTTCATGAAAATTCTGTACACATGAATCGTTACAACAACGTATATACTTATTACTTTGCATTCTGCTCAGTTACCACCATTTAGTTGCTTAATCTTTGGCCACCAAACCAAAAAGCAGCAATATTCCTCAGTCCTTAATTGAAATTTTCAGTATTTTGAAAAATGAGAATACTGAACTGTTTGGTAAAATTTATATTATCCAACGTCCCTCGTATACGATGAAAAATATGAAATATGTCTTTAACCCAGAAAGATGTTTCAGGACTAGATATATCCCATCAAAAACTTTAGCCAAAAAGATGTTTCAGGACTAGATATATCCCATCAAAAACTTTAGCTAAAAAGATGTTTCATGACTATATATATCACATCAAAAACTTTACCCAGAAAGATGTTTCCGGACTAGATATATCGCATCAAAAACTTTAGTCAGAAAGATGTTTTAGGACTAGATATGACCCGATCAGGTACTTCATGTGGTATTTTGGTAAAAAAACTTTATAATACAATAAACTCCAGGTTTTAAAAAACACTCCTTTTTTTATGATAACTTTGAAATTACTATAGATATTGTTGCACGAACATTTTGTGAAATGGGAAGTTTCGAACTAGATAATAATTTCAAAAGAGTATGAAGTACTGTAAGAACACAAGAAATGGTGGTGGTTGTTTTCAATTCAGTTTATGTATATCCCAGATTGAGTAGACGAAAACTGGGAATAATTTCAATACCTCACAAGTTCTTCTCTGAGAAATTCTTCAGAACATTTTATTATATTCCTGCTATAGCCAACGGGTTCAGTTTTACTCCCTTCCGACTTTCCCATACGATGAGCTTGATGGATTCTTCAAAAAATGAATAAAAATCTGCACCAGAACTGCAACTTTGAGCGATGTCAACTCGACAGTACACTTTATCGTGTGTATCGTACATTTCATATGTCACTTTTCTTCTCTTAGATCTAGCGTCATATCAGGCAGCGTCATATCAGGCAATCTGCCTATCTACCTATGTGAGTTTTCACCAAAACGCTTCCAAAACGGTGCGGTGGATAGATGTACTTCCTTAGAATGGCCGGCTAGATCACCTAATATGACGCCCTTGGATTTATTTGTGGGAACTCGTGAAATGTTTGAAGTACACAACTGCAGACCATTCCATAGCTCATGGATATAAAAAGAAGTGTTTGCAATGAGTTTTTAATATTTTTTCCTAAAATTTATGATGAAAATAAATCAGTGTTGAATTGATAATCAAAACATCTATCAAATGAGCTAGCACAAGACCTCACGTTCCATTTCTGAAAAAAAAGTTGAAAGTGCCATCTCGACTACGAGTGATGCATTTTATCCGACTCTGATATCTTGTCCCAGTTAAAAGTCAAGATATTCTACTTTGTCTGAATGTTTAGAAGGAACAATTTGGAATCAATGTCTAAGACAAATGAACAGGAATGTTTCGAATCACCATCCACTAGCTATTTTCAATATTTTGCAGGAATGTCGCAAAACTTATTTGACTTTTTTTCTAAAATCATGACTAAAAATCGTTTGATACAATATGATAAATAAAAATGTATGTTGAAATTAACGGAAAAGTTTCCGAATACTAACATTTCATCTTTAAAGCGTTCATAAACCCAGTCTATGTAATAAGTTGAAAAATATTTGTAGCCAATAAAGAAACAATTTAATTTCAAGTTCTTGAGGAGCTCAGGATAAACCACCAGGAGATGTAAAATTTTCTAATCATTTGAATTTTTTCATTTCAAAAACCTATAGTTACAACTTACAACACATACATTGATGTTCAACTATTCACCAAATTGCGGATAAAATAGAGGTCTGTTTAAAAAATGAGGTGAATGTTCAAAGTTCGCGGGCTACATTTATTCGATTATCTTTTTTTTTTATTTTTCAAATTTAGGCAATTTTTTCAACTGACCGCGTATACTTTTCCAGCTTATATCAAGTGAGAAAGGCTGATAACCCTCACAAAACTAATAGATATCCTCAAATTTGCTTTTCCTCCGAAACTATTTCTTATCATCCCATCGCTAAGCAATGAAAGTATTAATGACCAAGAAAGACTAGTTTTATTCAAAGAATCTGGCTGTCATAACTAGTTGCAGAGAGTCGGGTTCAGAAACTCAACGCTTGTATCGATAACAAAAAACAACCACAGAAAAAGTCAGTAGTGACTAAGTAATGACCCCTGAACAAACAAAGCAGGGAGTTCGTATTTTAGTTGACAGATTTAAAGTGTTTTGTGACAACATTTGTGTTTTGTTTCGACCAAATAAGGTAAAGACGCATTTACTACTTTGTTTATCTCACATCAACAATATCTTTGATGATATNTTCTAGTAATTCATACTCTACGTCATCTAAAAACGTAATATCAATATATTTTTTTTTAAATGTCGAGTACCGAAATACTTGCCATATTTGAAAATGTCTCACGAGATTAATTAATTATTATATCACTGTTATTTATTATATGTTTTGACTAAGAAGCTAATTAGTTTTACAGAGCACAGTTTCGGAACATATTACCTCAAAAGGGCCGAGAATGTTGTCGAAATTTAAAATAGGGTTGAAAAATAAGCACCGCCGGCTCTTTTGATAGTTACAATATGTGTTTTGAACTGTTATGTAAGATGTATTGCAAATGGGTGTGAATCGACCCTTTAGGCGCCACTTTTTTAGAATAGTTATATTTTTATATCCACCATAAATTAGGCGTAATTTTCATATACGGGAAAATGATACTGACGGTCGCAGAGACGTAATTTATTTTGCATGGGCGGATCAAGTATTTCGTTTTGGGGAGATATACACAGAAGCTTCAAAATAAATCGCTTCCACTATTTCTTCTAGTTTATAGATTTCAGTATTATGTCTATAAATTTTATGATTTCATTTACTTCGCAGACTTGTTCAACCCACACATTTACAATGATATATGATGGAATCGGCCGATACTTGATGAAAATCCATAACTAACGTATTCCAAAAACACTTTATTGTGAGATTTTCACTAAATTGTTTACAAAACGCGTTTTTGTAAAACAATTTAGTGAAAATCTCACAATAAAGTGTTTTTGGAATACGTCATTTACAATGATTTTTGTGAGTGTAATCAAATATCAGAGTCTCAGTTTTCAAATATGCTGAAATACAATATTAATTTCCATAATTGATAAATTCAAAAATTATATTTCTGATTTTTGAAACTTCCCTGCTATGTGAATATTCCACCTCAGAAAACTATCTAAACTATATTCCATCCGAGACTGAGTAAATTTACACGAGAACATGTGAATGTAATTTTTCACCAGAGCTCAAAAAATTATAAAATAGGTATTGCAATGGACTTTCGAAGTTTTTCAATTTAGAATTTCACAACTATAAATTTGCACTTAAACTGGAAAAAAAGATATTAAAAATATTATACAAGGTGACGCAAAAGTATATACATGATTAATCTGATGGTATGAAATGAAAAAAATAATAAGGTTGTTTGTGATGACTTTCTTTAGTTAATAAAATTTGTAAATATCACTAAGTCGACATTAACGAAGATGGANTCTGTGGATTCTCTGGCCGCTTTGAGTTTTGCCTGCATAATAACTATTTGTGGTGCAGCTGTCGTAGTTGTTGTGGTGGTGGGCATCGTCTGATCGAGACAGGACTGCAAAATATGCAAGAAAAAAAGAAAAGCTAGTAAAGTGAGGGCAGTGAGGGCTACACTACGACTCTTCTTTTTTCCGTAGTTTCCTCCGCCACTGTAGTGATGTATGTATCTGAAATTTGAGAGGGTTAGTTAGAATGTTTGACAAATCATTGCTGATATTTTGTTGTATGTATATGTCTTCAGAAGGACAATCGAGTACCTCAAATGGGTTTGGGCTTTGAAATAAAGGATTCAAAATTGTTTATCAGCTGTCTTCCTCACCAGGGAACAACCCTTGGTCAACTTTTTTTATGTATGGTGAAACTGCATCCTTTGACATCGTGCAGAATATAATTCATTAGTGTTGGCATCCTAATTTTACCATGCTGATACATATACAAGTCTCAGATTAAAAAAAAAGTAAACAAATATTCTCAAAACTTTCATAACTGTAATAGGAATATGGTATATCAACTATTTTCAAGATTGGATTTGGGACAGAACGCATATGAATTCGTGCAGATTGAATGCTACTATGAATATCTGTGAACACGTTCAAATCTAGGAAATATACACGAACTGAAACACGAGTTGTGTGCTTTCTTGAAACAAAAGACATTTCTTTCTCTGAGGGAGTATCTGCGAGCATAAGCATATCCCAATGGTAAACCTTTATTTCATCTTTGGGAAGAAAAACTGCGCCTGTTGAAAAAAAAACAAAGTTGCAATTAGAAATATATTCATTTTATTTTACGGAAGAAATACCGAACCCCGACAATTTTGGGAGTCTTGAAAGAAAACCAAAGAGTGTCTCCATTGAAAGGTAGAAAGAAATTGTGGAATACTTCAACAGAATTAAATTTCAGCTGGGAAAAAAGAAACAGAAAATTGCTCCTGATTGAAAATAATAAAATTATTTGCTGGAGAAGACATTACCTAAGGCAGATGAGATAGGTTAGGCTAGGTTGAAAGCGAGTGGGTCTATTCGATCCTCCACTGCAACCCGCAAGAGTTTATTCTGGCTCACACCTTTTGACACTCGACCAAATAAAGCCAGCTCCTCGACGAAGCTGATTACTTTGTATGGTGCGCCTCTGCCGAGCTCTAAGAACCTGATTCGGTCCCCAGCGGCGCAGGCACAAGTATATGCTCTGCTGTTTCACCATTTTCAAAACAGAGGCGACACACACTGTCTTCCGACAGTCCGAGTCTCTGCATATGATGATTCAGATGACAGTGACCTGTGAAAAGGCCTGTTAGACATCGTAGATCACCCCTACTGTAGTCCAACAATTGTTTGGTATCAAACCTCGAAGAGTGAATGAGCACCTTGGAGTGTGCCAATCCTGGAAGATTCTGCCAGAAGTCCAAAAATCTTTTTGTCATCCAGGTGTTCAATGTTTGTTTGGCAAAGCCTAAAGCGATGCCAATGCCAGGTTCTGGTTCAATGCAGCTGCTTGCAGCACTCTACTTTGCAAGGCAGTCAGCAGCAGTCAGCAGTAAATACTTCTGGTAATATATCCACTCTTCTTTCAGCCTCATTCAGTCTATGTTGCGCCTCACCAGTCCTCTTTTATGCCACACCCTTTTTCTTTGGCGGTTCACCCGCCACCCGTCAATGAACACCTTGGNAAGCATTTTCAGAAGGATGGTCTACCGGATTGACTGATTATCATCCACGTTGAAGGTGTTGATGGTGGTTTATTGATGTTTGAGTCGAAGTATTATGGAGATTATCATGAACGATGATGTATTTGAAGAATATTTTTAGCAAATGTTAGACCTCATTTCACCCATTTTTGTGATTGTGATAGATGGTGCAAGTTATCATTCTAGAAAAGTTGAAAAATAGCGACTCATGCATGGATAAAAGCGGATATCATTTAGTGGTTTCGACAAAAACATACCATTTGATGATAGTAGGTTAAAAATAACTATTGTCTGTGATATGTTCAACTCAAGCTAGTTTAACGGAATATGCAGTCGACAAGATGGCATAAAAAATGGTGACTCCAAATCATCGAGAGATTGCTGCTGAAATTTCTACGTCTACGTGCCACGATAGTTGATCATTATGTTGAGTTTGAGTCCAATTTTGAAATACTATTGTTTGTGAAAGAATCGATAATGAATTTATGATGCACTGTTTGGAACCTTTGGTGTAATAATGAATATAACTGGAGTTTTTTCCCAACACCAAATCGTTATTTTTAACACCTCGACACGTGTTACGATCACCAAGTGATCATCTTCAAAGAGGAAGATTAAAACTAGAAACTAATGCGAGCTAACCGTATTTTATGCAAGAAAAAAAGNATACAGGTATACCAACCTAAATTAATTTTATAATTTTGCCTGTGTCCTTATGTAGTAATCAGTAAACCCAACAACATTATTTTATTTTATTTTAACAAGCTATATAGTATGCTCTTTGGTATAGGTCCGTCATCGTTATTCATAATATTATTGTGTTCACTTATTTCTACACTCTCATAGGCATCTAGTTGCCTTTTGCTAACTTGTCTAACTAATCTTAATGAACTGAAGTCTATGGAATGATTTTGTTGCAAAATATGATGGGCGACAATTTAAGTTGGTATACCTGTATGGTTGGTACGCCTGGATGGTTTACCTGTATGGGTTACCTTTATAGCATAAATAGGGTTAATTCGCATTAGTTTCTAGTTTTAATCTTCCTCTTTGTAGATGATCAATTGGTAATCGAAACACGTGTCGACGTGTTAAAAATAACGATTTGGTGTTGGGAAAAAACTCCAGTAATATTCGATAATGAATGTTTATAAGCATGTCCTTTGAAAACTATGGTTTTCCTAAATAATCGTCTTTGTTTCAATTATCGTGGGTTTGGGGTAATAATAAATTCAAATTAGATATATGTAATTTGATATTCGGTTCAAGAAAACATTTTAAAGAAAAGGGAGCAATTATTTTGAAAACTGCATCAAAGACGTAGTTTCTCAAATTTGGGATACACCACATAAATGTTGAAACCAAGGAAGATTATCCAATAAATTAATCGAGCTGTATATTATTTTCAATAAATAGTTTTCGTTCATCAAGATTCATACTGTATTTTCACAAAATAAAAATATTACTCACGTGTGTCCGCCATTTTCATACCCTTCTTCATGCGGATGATACCCTTCGTGGTTGTGGTACCCTTCATGGGGATGGTACCCGCCATCATTGTAGTGTTTTCTAACGATTTTACTACTGGCAGCCGTTTTCTCGGTCACTGTTGGTGGTAAATCCGGCTTGACCGCCCCGCTTATATGATTTCCCAAAAGGGAGTTTATCACCATAGGAGCTAACGCCGACATTTTTTCTGTTCATGTGTGTCTGTAATGAGTGACCTAACAGGAATAAAATGTTTGTTACATCGTCGTGTCATCTAACTGGACCAGAAATTACTACATTCTACTCGAAATAAGTGGTTGCTGTTTCGTGAGATTTATGCCACCCGCTGTTATCAAGCTCACCGATGAGAAACGTCTTAACGTTCATCGAAGTACCAAGGCATGACTGACAAATGTTTCATAAACCTCTAATTTAACGAGAAGTTTTCACCCCGGTTTGTGTTTTGTTTTCTGATGCCCGAAAGGGTCTGCAAAATGGCGCAGATGTCTGTCGGATGTGATACACTATCCGGCGTGGTTTTAGCCAGAGAAGTAAATGTTTCCCGACGGTATTTGCTGAGTTATACTGTATACTTACCAAATATTTCTGAAATATTTCTTACTTTGTATTTACTCGATATTGTCAATGAATTTCTGCACAAGTAAGATTGTTACATTGTTTACGCAAGATCAGGGACTGTCAATGGGATCGCCACTGTCACCAGTTATAGTCAACATTTATATGGGGTGGTTTGAAACTCTGGCCATTGAAGAAGCCCCCAAGAAGTCCCAAGTCTGGTACGTTGACGACACCTTCAATTGGTTTGAATCTTATTTATCTGAGCGTAGTCAAATTGTTAAAACGACTAATTATTCTGAGGAAGGAAAAATAAACTGTGGAGTTCCACAAGGTTCAGTTCTAGGTCCACTATTATTTCTTTTGTATATAAATGATCTGAAAGGAGAGTTCACACTATTCGCTGACGACACAATTTTATGGCATGATCAAAATCCCGCTGAACTTCAAACAGTAATAAATCATGATATTAGCAATATAATAAGATGGTGTGACGCAAATCTTCTCAGTTTTAATATCTCTAAAACGAACGCAATTTGCTTCAACTGTTCCATCAGCAATTTGCAAATTGACAACATCTTTGTTGAGAATAAACCATCAACCATCAATTCTGGGACTATCTATTGATAGTGATTTGGAATTTGAAGACCATATCAAGAGTCTCAAATCAAAGTTACCCTCAAGGTCTTATGCTGTGAGGCTGACATCTTATGAGTTAGGATTTGCTGCTGCCAAAGTAACATGTCAGTCTCTCATAGAATATCATCTAGGATATGGAATTCCTTTCTGGGGTGCATGTACTTTGACAACACTGCAATCAATTTCAGTTATCCAGAAAAGAGCTGTACGTTTTCTGTGTTAAGCAAAACCACGAGATTCTTGCAGACCACTGTTTAAGGAAAAGAAAATCCTCACTGTAATATCTATTTTTATTATCGAAACTATATGTCTCATAGCAAAACATCAAAATCAATTAACACAATTAATTCAATTAACACAAACGCCACTCGACAAAAAACGACTTTAATTTGCCCATTCCAAAATATTCCCTCATTGAAGACTCTTTCATTTATAATGGGTTAAAAATTTTCGATGACCTTCCATCAAATCTGAAATTTGCATACAGTAACGAAAACTTTAGGAAAGTTTTGAAGGATTTTTTTGTGGCTGACTCGTTTTATGTAATCAATATTGAAAATTTTCCAAATAAACTCTTATTGGCTATATTCGTGCAAATGATGTATTGTGCTATGTAAATACTAATTGTTTTTGTTATTTTTTTGTTCTTTGTACATATGTTCAATAACTACCTGAAATTTTATTCAACAACTACCTAACGTATTCCAAAAACACTTTATTGGGAGATTTACAGTAAATTGTTTTACAAAAACGCAACACGTGTTTCGCCATACAATGGCTTCATCTGGCGTGTCTTTCAACTAATTCTACACATTCCATACTAAATATATATATAGTTTATAGAGTACCTGAAATCAAAGTACCTGTAAACGAAGTACCTGGATTTTAAGTAGCTGAGATTTTACCTGAGTTTCTAACGAATTAAATTACCTGCACTTATGTACCATTTTCACATTTGAAAAAATATATTCAGTAACGAAGAACTCGTGTCCTTCTGCTAAAATGTGGAATTGGTCTTTCTATTTACAAAACTACTCCTATATTCTTTAATTCGTTGGAAAAATGTTCTTCCTGTTTGGCCAATATACAGTTTTGGACAAGAGCCACAAGTCAGCTTATATACTCCTAATCTATCCGACACCGAAGTTTTGTCCTTATTGTTTTTAATAAATTTACTTAGGTTATTATTCGTTCTATAAGCTACGTTTACGCCTTCTTTCTTCAAAAAACGGGCAATATTCCTCAGTCCTTAATGAAAATTTTCAGTATTTTGAAAAATGAGAATACTGAACTGTTTGGTAAAATTTATATTATCCAACGTCCCTCGTATACCATGAACAATATGAAATATGTCTTTTGGATTGAAGAAAATGTTCTATGAATACATTTTTTGAGAAAACAACAATAGCAATTTTTTCATAGAAAATGTTGTTTTTTATAGTCAAAAATGCAAGTAATTCCTTTATATTTATCTGTCCCACCACAACGGGGAAGTAAAGAAAATGTCACTTCCCAAGTGACGGGGTAATATGAAACGGGTCACCTCTCAAGTTACAAAAATAGATTTTATTATTGAATGCGATGCGGCATATAACACAAACGATATAAAATATCAAGGACATGTCTTTCATGAAGCTCATTTGCTGGACATACAGATTTATCGCTATTATTTCCCGATATTTGAAAAATTGCACCTGCCGGTAATATAATGATCGCGAATAAATTCTTTCCTAACAACCGCGTTGTTATTGTGAACGATTTGAAAAAGTTTTATGTCATTTCAATAGAGAAGGCTGTGGTTACTTCGCCGTTTCACATTGCATTGCAAATAGGTAATCTTATTCTCAAGGCTATGTCTACAGAGTCAAAAAAGAACCAGGAATTAGTCAATAAAACGCAAAACATGTAAGTTGGAGGATGCGAAAATGAAAAATAGAACTTTGTATGTTTTTTTACCACTTTTATTTGTTGTTTCATTGCAGTTTGGTCCTGTAATTGTTTAAAAATGTCCTCATAGTACGAAACTACAATAAAAACATTAGTTACAAATAAAAGTGGTAAAAAAACATGGAAAGTTTTATTTCTCATTTTTCACATTCAACGCAAAATATGTATTATGCTTTCAAACTTATTGTATCGCCTTCAAAGTAGGCCCCTTCCGAAATAATTCACTTACACCAATGAACAACTCAATCACGAAAACATTTTTTAATACCGTTTTTTGGAACAGACATCAGTACTCCCGGTACTTGCAGCGGATTCTCTTTTATGCCATTCATCGCCTGAAAACGTGTGCCTTAAAGTGGTGTTTTGAGTTTTGGGAAAAGTACGAATCAGCCGGAGCCATATCAGGTGAATACGGTGGCTGTTTGTTACGTTTTGTTGAGTCCTGAGCCAGAAGTAAAGTCTTGTGAAATGGTACGTTATCCTGGTGCAAAATCCATGTTTCTTTCCACATATCTGTTTATTTCTGACGAATTTGCATGCTCTCTTAATTTTACTAAGCTGTTTATCATTTTGAGCGTCGCCATTTCATCTTTGCTGTTGAAATATTGAACATATAAAACTTTCTACAGTGTCATATATTTAAAATGAAGACATCCCTATATTTAAGTCATTTTTGAAAGCAGGGATTTGATTTTTGGTACAGATGTGGACCTTCATAGGACGCACTTTCCGCAATATTCGTACTCAGTCCGAGTGACAGCCATAAACCCAGTCTACTAAAGAGTATGCCACGTATATACATCTCTGAGGTTGTAATTTAAGTAAAAATATTTTTCTATCGGTATACATAAGTGTAAATATAAGAATATCAGCTAGAATGAAATCCAGTCCCTTAATTTGTACTTAAGCTATTGTAACCTTGAGCCAACATCTGTCTCCGTGTTCAATTGTGTGCTTGGCTAGGGTCGTATACCTGCTTTGCGTCAGAATGTCCAATAAATAAAAAACAATTAGTCTTGAGCGCCACGCTGTAGTGAAAACACGTGTTTAACACAACATATTTCGTGCTGTTCTGAGTTTTAAAATGAAAATATCCAAATATTGTTTTATTTACGAAAAACTTTCAACCGAAGGTAAAATTGTTACTGTTGAACGTGGTATGAAGAGATTATTCAATGCAAGTATCAAAAAAGCAGATGACTTTTCAGAATATCTGAAAAGTCAGAATTCTGTCACAATACATAAAGAGTGTCGTAGAAATTATACTCGGAAGGGTTCTATTGCTGCAGCTAAAAGACAACACAACGAACAAGAAGCCAGTACATCAACAGTAGATCCTCCACGTACAAGATCACGTGTAAGTGATTCAGCTTTTTGTTGTACAAATCTATGCTTATTTTGCGGCAAGGAATTGAATGAAGAGTATGAGAGAAGTGTGGCTTCGTTATCAGCTAGACCCAAAAGACTGGGGTTGGAAGTTGGTCGACAATGCATTAGACCCTATTCAGACTTTACTCCCACCTGCGCCGGAAAAACTGCCGAACACAATTTTTTGCAACTGTAAATAGGGATACAGCGGTAAATGTGGTTGTAAAAAAGTTGGACTGTTGTGTTCTCTGGCATGTACACATTGTCAAGGCCAGTCATGTTTCAGCTGAACCACCAATAGTGGAGGATTCATTTGATACCAACGAGAAAACATGCGATACATCACTCTTGACACAGTTCACCTACACCCAGGATGAACATCAAGAAGAAGAAGAAAAAGACCAATAAGAAGAACGACAAGAAGAAGTATTTGAAGGTTATGACTCAGATGAATAAATTTTTATATTTTTTCAATTTCAATCCTTCCTAATATATTTTATTATGCAAGTTTTCAATTTGACAGAATCACAAGACATGTGGAATAGGCCCACTGGGAAAACCACGTTAAAAAAACGCGCTAATTACACTACGTCATAGGTGGCATGGAAACGTGTGCATATAATGACGATTACAACTTTTTGACTGGTCGTATCTCAGAAACGGTGGCTCTAAGAAAGAAAAGTTCCGATACCTTTTTCGT